GCCGGCCACCGGCCCTTCCTGCCCCTTCGCCACCCAACACCGCCGCCGGCAGCCCGGGCGTCCCTGCTGCCCCTCGCACAGGGCGGGGCAGGACGGGGAGCAATTCATTCATCTTGCCTCCCAAAGGTTTTTCTGTTTTTCTGAATTTTGAGGATGCGGATCCTCCTCTCCTCCTTTTTGGCCATGAAGGAAACGCCGATCTGCTCCCTGGGCCGCGCAGGCCCGGCTCTGCACAGCGGGGGGCCTGCCGCATCTGCCGGCACAGCCTCTCCCCGGGGAGCTGCGCTCGGGGTGTGGGAGTAGAATGCGCAAGCAGTTCAAACGAGCCTTTTTACCCGCCTTAGCACTGGAGAAGGGTCGTTTTTTAAAAACGTTTGTTACTTGCATATGATTGCACTGTGTTTCAGTGTAAAAGTCACCTGGAAAGGATGAGTCCGGCATTCCCAGACTTGGATGTGTGAAGTTGCGAGGGATGCCTTTGCTTCACACTTCTGACAGTCATCTTTGATGTAGGTGCTTAAAATGCAGCATGTGTGTTGCGACATCAAGGCCAAAGCTTGTAAATAGCCTTTCATCAGGTCTGCTTGTAAAACCCACATTAAAAAAAAAGATCAATCAGCACTTAGGTAAACATGCCCCCATGGCTGCTCTGTTTGTTCTGTCTCTTGTTACCAACACCGCTATAAAAATACCTGTGAAACAAAGAAGCATTCTAAATACTGACACAAAAAGGAATAAAGTTAACACCTAGAATTCTGCCAACAGATTCCCGTATGGATCATAATAATATTAATGTGATCTAGAAAAGGCATTGTACAATGAAATAGCAGAAATTGCTCCTGCTAATTGGAAGAGGGATAAACTAGTCAATACCAGGGGAGATTACAAGATGACAAAATTATAGGGTGACCTAATACAGCCTTGTTACTGGGCACCAAGATGGAAAAGTACTGAAAAATCTGTTTAAAAAAATCACAACAAACAATATTTTGTAGCTTTCCATCTAAAGAAATTTTACAAAACATTTGAATATATGTAGTTGGACAGTAACACAGCTTTTATAAAGAAGTACAAACTAAATAATTGACTGTGAAATTTTGTAACATCTGTTTCTCATTGCTGTCTTCTTATTTACGCTTTGCATTGACTAGGCTTCCAGTTCTAGTTTTAGACTAAATGTAGAAACCTTAGCAGCGTTCCTGTTACTGGATTTTTGTTAGTAGACTAAAACCAAAATTTTAGTTAGCTACATGCTTTAAAGCCAACAGGGTATGCCAGTGAAATATTGTAAGTCCCATTTTAGAGATTATTTTTCTCGCATTCTTACTGATTTTTCATCATTTTAGTCTGTTGCTTACATTAATGAAAGTTAATGAGTTAGTGTGCAATCTAAATTGCTTTAAGGTAGTTTTGAAGTGAATCACTATCAAATTTCTTATGCTTCACTAAAATAATGGCTTAATCTCTTCTCAGTCTTTGTTAACATGCTGTTCCTGCATGTCACGCTAAAGCATCCCAACTTTTGCAAAAACAGGGCAGAAGGTAGATATCTTTTAGAAAATGAAGCAATATGCCAAATTTTTCTTTGCGTTGGAGCTTTGAGTGGCACATCTAGCACCTCCAGATGGAAAACCTGAAGAACTTTCTGGGAACTGTTGCTGTAAACCTGTAGAGTAAATACTGTCTAAGTAAATTGCAGGGATAATCTGAGGCTTGGATTTTTAGTTCTCTGTATATACATTTGTACAGAAATAGGGTGGTGTCTAATATGGAAATTGATAAAGTCAAAACTTAGGAGAAAATTAATTTGATCAGGCCTGGTGTGGTCAGTTCAGACTTTGAAGGGAGTGCCTCTGTGTATGTGTGATAAATCCCAGTGCCACAACTGAGCCATTGGTCCACACTGCTGGATGCATCCTCAGTGGCAAACAGTTTTACAGAGGTGTGGCACAGGAGAGGTAGGTGGAGGCCATGGTATTTTGTTAACGCAGGCAACTGCCTTCCCTGCTTCTGTCTGGAACCAACCTAGACAGAGGACTTAAGTAAAATAAGGTCCCTTCTATCGTTTTCAAGTGAACATATACATTTCTTATCAACTAGAATATTCTAGTCTTCTCTGTCTTCTCTGTCCCAATCAGTGTTATATGAAGAACAAAAATAAGCAGTTTAATGTTGCTGCTGATGTAACAGAGAAAACTCCACATACTTCAAAAAGTTGAATCAAATTTTACTTCAAGAAACATTGACATTTCCTGCCTTTTATGCAAATATAGTCCTTCTAAATATTTCTAACCTGCCTTTCAGATTGCAGAAGCTGAAGGAGATGTTTATATCAAAATTTGGATCGGCTCCCAAGTTTTATGTTCGTGCACCAGGGCGAGTCAACTTAATTGGTAAAAGAAAAATTAATTTTGAATCTTCTTATTTTATTTTATCTGACATAGTGAAGGCCTAGTAGTTGAAAACATAGAATAAAAATAATGTTGGACTTTATTTTTTCCAGAGAAGTTGCTTGTGATAAATGGAAAAGAGAATATAATACTTTACTAGCTTTTATTACACCTTGTTAAAAACAGCTGCACACTCAAGTATCAGTTGTGGAAAAGACACTTATAGACAGTAGGGATGGTTTTGACAATTGGAGTAACTTTTCAGCTTATGGTTGGATACCATTTTTTTGAAAGGCTTTGGAAATCTAATCTAAAGTAGTTGATGAACACTGCATCCACAAATTAAATTGGTGTATTTTTTTCTCTCCATTATAATTTCACAAATATAACTAGCCACACAGCAATGCATATGATAAAGCATGAAATGATTCTACCATCATCTCGTCATCTTTATTCTTCCACAGAGATGTGTCCACAGAAGTTAGAACGGTTGGTTGTGATTCAGAGGCAGACTGGAGAGACACAATTATTTTGTATTTAGGACTTACTTGTATTTCTGTGGCAGCCTTATGTTAGGACTGTGCTCTCCCTAGAGATCAGTTTCTTGTATATTCATAAAGTAACCGTACACATTTAAAGACATTGTAAGTAAAAGGATCCTGCAAAACAGGATTAAAAATTTAGTCCATTGGGCAATTAATGATAATTTTTATCTCTGTGTTGTGTGACCATATAATATAGATTAAATAGACAGCATATTATTCCCAAGAGGAAGGATGTTTACTACATACCTTTTCTATCTGAATGTTACTTTATGTGTTGTATGTAACTGTAGTAGTGACTATTTAAATATAATAACAATTATACGTTTTATTATATATAAAATAATAATTTAATTGGGAAAAGGCCCAGAAGTTTTATGAAAAAAAAAAAATTCCTCTTATCTAGCGGCTACTGAATCACCCACATGAGCAGAGGAGATAACGTAATGAGTCATGTGGTGCCTTCATCTCTTCCAGTCATCAGTTAAATGTGATTGATTTAACTTAATTTTTTGTACTGTCACAAGGGTGTACAAATAATGTGGCTGTTGGCACTGCTAGACAATAATCTATGTAGTGTTATTTAAATATTTACAAACCAATGTTAAAACATGCAGATTTATAAACACATGAAATAGATAAAATCACTAAAGAAAGAACATTTTTGTGCAGTAATATGAAAAGAAGGAAATGCACCTCAAACTTTAAATAATAACCTTTGAGACTATACTCAGAAATTGTCTCTGACACTGAACCCCTGTAGAAGCCCTGTTACTGCTATTTTAGAAAGAATTATTCCAAAATATTTTAATTGCCTGTTTCTTTTGTAGGAGAACATATAGACTACTGTGGTTATGCTGTGCTCCCTATGGCTATAGAACAAGATATACTGATTGCAGTAGAACCTGTAAAAACTGAAGTTGTGCAACTGGCAAATACCAGTTCTTTGTACTTGTAAGTGTTTTGTTTATTCCCTAATTTTTATGAACCTCTTTATGCAATTGCAGTACAGGTTACTTTTCAGAAATCTGACAAACTTCCATTGCAATGTAGCCTTTAATTGTGTAAAATGAATGATCTAAGCAGATGGAATCCCATTGGCTTTATGCTGTGCATATTAGTTTAGAGCAATAGTTTCGCTGCTTCTGTCTCCCACCTGTTTGTTCAGATTTCTCTCGTGAGGCCTCTGAGTTTTCAGTCTTTCTAAAAGTGCAAGCCTGTCTTCCCTTCGCTCATCTTCCTTGATGTAATCCCCATAATTGGCAGCAGTTCAGTTTCTCCTGGAGAAGGGAGCGAAATGTTTTGTAATTAATTACTGCATGTGTAAGCTAACACTCCCCTGCTCTGGAGAACCTGGGGCTATATTTTCACAACACAACAGCTTTAGCAACAATCCTGGCTCAAAGAATCTGTATTCCCTCTCTTCCGCTTCCTCCACAGCTGCTTGGTTGCTGATTCATAGACTAATATGCCTTGGAAGGGACCTTTGGAGAGTCTTTGTAACCATCTTGATGGCCTTCTGCTGGACTCCCTGCAGTTTGTCTTTCTGGTATTGGGAAACCCGAAAACTGGACGCAGTATTCCAGTTATGGTCTCACAAATGCTGAACATGGGGAAATAATCCTGCAATTCTTTTCAACTTCAGCCACATTTTTCTGCCTCGTTCCTTTAACAGACTGATATTTGTGTAGTTGCATAGCAGTTCAGATCAGGTCACTCATCTACATGAACTTTTGTGGACATTTTGCAAAAATCAGAATCAGCACAAGCTTAGCTTAAGCCATTTTTATTAAGCCATTGTTTTAAGCCAATGGTAAATTACTCCCTAAAAGCACAGTGTATGGCAGCACAGGGACAGGAACGTATTGCCAAAGGCAGGAACTATTTAAGCACATATTTCTGCTTAAAGCTCAGTTTGTTACAAAAGCGTGTTCTGAGCTGCTGCCTGCGACTAAGGCAGCTGAAAGGAATTTTTACTTCCATGGTAAGTATAAATACGCAAATATTTTTCACTCACTTTGTGGAGTATGTTTTCACGTTATAGCTGGGCTGGATTAAGAGTTTGTCACCGCCAACAGGTGATGGCTTGCTTCTTTTACCCCTAGTCTCCCTGTCCCTGCTTCTAACATTGGTCCACCCTCTGCCTTTTACCAGATGTAGTACTTGTTTGACCTTAAGGTAAAGTGCACTACTCACCCATTTTCTGCCTGGTTAATTTTCTGTCGTTTTAGTGAATTGAATTGCCATGCACTCAGCACTAAAGCTGATTTGGGGTAAACAGTGGGAACATGCAGGGCAGGGCAGGGAAAGGAAATGGCAAACGAGAGTGGGACTTTTCCCTTTCTTTAATGGCAACCTCCATCAGGGCTTAAGCTGTATTGCAAAACTGTTCTGGAATTATAAGAGCTTTGATTAGGAAAAGTTGTTATAACGGATACTAAATAAAGCAGTAACCAAAAGGTAAACATTTTTACTTGGTCTTTAAGCTTTGGCACATTACATCACCGTTGAAATTGCCTTCTCCTAAGGTACATGCAGTTCCTACCAAATCTAGAATTACAGCCTTTGAATTCAAATTGCACACACAGTCACTATATTTTTATATCTGCCCTGCTTTCATTTTGAAATCATATGTTTTAAACTATAAACCAAGAATAGGTCTCAGAATACAGCATTAAGCATCTTTGTTTTATTGAGACACTGTTGCTTAAAAACAAAGCTAAAACATGCCCATAATTTCATAACAAAGAAATATTTTTCAACACTTTGAATGTTACACCACATTACAAAACTGTTGACAATATATCTTTTTTTCCCAGCCTGTTACACTGGTAGATTTATGCCCGTGGTGAATGCATGTATATAGGCCTTTGGTGAACGAGGACTAACTATAAGCCTCCATAGAATGGCCATTTCCTATTTCATTGTTGTTCTGTGAACTGGTAAAATGTGTAACAGTTCTGTAGCCCTCTTCCACCCTGATAGTTCACGTTAACTTTTAGGAAAAGCAGGACAGAGAACAGGTTGCAAGAGAAACCACCTATGTGTTTTTCATCATAAATCACCCCAACTCATCAGATGCCTTTTCTGTTATTTGAGCTAAAACGGTATTCAAAAGTTACAGTCTTTTGAAGTTCCCCATACCTCCCCTTCACATAACATCTTTGTCATTGAGAAATACGTGTACAGAGAATATCTGACATGATTGTTCTCACAATGCCTTCAGAAATACCAGAGGATGATCATTATCAATTGGTTTCCATCTTGTGGCAAAACCTGAAAATCTTATTTTTAAAAAAATCAGATTTATTTTTTTTACAGAGGACTCAGGTGAACTAACAGATTCACAAGACAATGAGGTTCTGTGAGAAAGAGCCAAATTGGTTTCTCCAAAATAAGGATTAATTACTATTCAAGCAGTAAAAACCACCTCAGCCACGTTTTTTCACACTACTCAAAAAACTCACCTCTTCTAATAATACAGAAGAATTGGAATGCTTATATCTAGCCTTGGAGGAGGGCCAAGCTTTCCCAAGAATCCTTTAAAACAGAAAGGTTGGCACAGACAGCATTGGAGTATTTTTACTTTATGGGTATGTTTTTTAACAATTGTTTACTTTATTTTATTATAAAGTTTATATATCAAACTGCTTCCCTTCCAGTAGGAGGATTGAAGGCAAGCCTGAAGATTTACTGATTTAAGATAAAGCTTGAGCATTTAGGAATTGTTTTTTCTAACAAATTGAATGTGATAACAAAAAAATAAACTTAAGGATTCTGGGGATCTTGACAGTCCCACATTCTGTGTTTGTGTGAATTATATCCCTATGAAACCTGCCAAAATCAAAGACAATTTTTCTCCCATTTTCTATGCAAGAAGATGGCTGAAATGAGCAAAATGCATTTTAAGGAGTCATAATTTTAATTTATCTTGAGAACCAGCAAATATCGTTATAGCATATGTCTTCTTGTTCATTGAAGTTTTACTTTGTTTGACTGTATAAATAGAATTACGAAGATAAAGTATTTTAGAGCTCTTTTTTGAGAGGAAGAGGACTTCAGATTTGCTTTCTGTTAATCACTTGTATGAATTTATATATACATGTATATATAAATATGTATATATTTATAAAAAAAACCCTGAAAGGCATTGCACTGAAAACAATTTACATCGAAATGTTTTTGTTCATCAGCAGGTGGCAGTAATAAGCCATGTTTTTTTCAAACTGAATTTACTGACAAGTTGAAGCCTCAAAGTTTTTCTGTTTTTGCAGGGATTTTAGCACTAGTGTTAATAACATTCAGATTAACAAAACCAAACCTCAGTGGCATAACTACTTCCTGTGTGGACTGAAGGGTATACAGGTAAGCCAAAGGCATTTTGCTTATGAAATTAGTGTAGAAGTAATATATGACAAGCATACATATTCACCCTCAAAATACTTCCCTGTGTTGTATAGCTTTTTTGGACATACAGTTTCTGTTAAAATTTGAGAAAGAGAGATGAGTAGGTTTGTTTTAAAATATTTGCAGAGCACTATTTTCATGTCTATTACATAAATTACAATAGCAAATAATGACTTAATAAAGTCATGATCAAACTCATTATCAAGATTACATCTCTCTGTTTGGAAGTTAAAAAGAATTCTTTCCAATGGAATCCTCTAAGTAAAAAGGTTTGGAGGCTCATTGATCAGGACACAAAGATTGTATTTCAGTCCTTTTCTTCCTATGTAAACACTTTTAAAAAACATTAATTTCCAGTATGACAACTTGTGCACAAAAACTGAGTGAAGCCGACTCATGCAGTAGGCAAAAGAAAGTGTAAAAAGTAAGTAAACAGCATACAAAATAAATATTCCAGTAAGAACCATTGCTTATCCATATTTTCAGTGTCTGGAATTTGAATGGGATTTTCAAAATTTCCTGAGTTAAGAGTGCAGCTAAGCAGGAAACGGCACACTTACGGTAAAGGCAGGAACAGTGAACAGACATTTTCCTGCCTGATCACTTGAGCTTTATCTTCTCCTTTGTGAGCTAGCCTGTCTCTAGACTGACTTGAAGACTGAACTGCTGAAACCAAATGCTGATCGATAGCGTTGTCCTGGGAGGCAGCCTGAACTGCCAATCGAGGCTTCCTATAAATCTCACCTGCTGTTTGCAGGTGATTCATGACTCTTTGAGGAAAAAAACGTGGTGACTTCTCAGCTTGATGTCAACGCAGTGTTATTTCTGGAAGGGCAGATGGGATAAACAGTGATGGCTAGGGCAGGAACAGGTCGCCACAGCCAGCACAAATTATGGGTAAATGTGCTTTTTAAAGCCCGTGAAACTTGCGTCTGGATAAGCCATCTAGGTCACCCCACAGAACGATGCAATAGATAAGGACTGCAGACAGCCAACAAAGCCTGCCACCAGAGTCCACAAAATACAATACTTGGAACAATCAGCGCCACAAATCACTTTATTACAATCCACAGTTCCTAAACAGCCCCCTGCCCCTCTGTTTAGACCCCAATAAATTACTTATGTTTGCAGTAACATGAGAATTTTCAATTTTGTACTTTCGTTGTATGCTCAATAACACTGGCATTTAAATTGCGTTGACTGTAGAGATATAGATTAAGTTTCTTTACAACATATCTTTTCTTATATTAAGGCTAGCATGACCAATTGACTTTATTTATTTTGCAGTCTGCTACTGAGATTTGTTTCCTAAGGACGAACTTTCGTACTTGAAGGTTAATTTGCAAAGCAGGTTTGCAGACTCTAGCACTGGCAGAAAATAAGCATAAATGTTAGACTTAAGAAACACTGAAATACAAGTACTCAGAGGGTCCAGCGGGATAATCTGTTTATATTAAGTTGAACATGCTATCCTTTAGGGACAGAACTATTGCAGAACTTGGCAAAGTCCATTTTAATTTTTGAAACTGAAGTACGTTTTCTATTTAAACATTGCGTGATAAGTTTGCAAGCCTGATTCACATTCAAGACAATCCAGAAACTGTGGATCAGTTTCTGGTTACTCAAGCATTTTCTGTTTTTGAACAAGCCTGTCTACTGTTCTTCATGGAGGGGCATGGGCAGCAATAGTGTTTAAGGTATGAGTTGCCTTATATCTGTAGAAAGGGAAATTTAAAATAATTTGAAGTGATGGTAGAGGACATTAAAGGAGGCTCTTTGTGTTTGTTGATCTCTACCATTGTTATTTATGGCTGAAGTTGTTTCAGGAAAAGTAGTAGGAATCTTTTGAAGTTAGGAATTTCTTTATGGAAACACTGCCATTTTTTTCTGATTATCGACAGTGACACATCATTTATTCACGTATAAATCTGCATCAGAATGTAGCTATTCATATACCCCCCATATAAGTTTGATGATTTTTTAATAAGTACTGCATGTTTATTTCAAACTAACAACAGAGAGAAATTTATATTAAAGTGCTTATAAATAAAAAGACAAAGCAACTGAAGAGTAATTAAAAGAGTATGTACGTAAGGATTTATGACTTCTGGATTAAATGTATTATCTGTGATATTTATCAAGTAAGTAAAAATACTTTAAACTTTGTTCTAAGTGTGACAGAGACCATCACCACTGGTAGGTGTGTCTTTGTGCCTCCTGAAGCATAGTGTCCTTCAAGTACCATTGTGGTTTTCTCAGTGTCAGTCCTGTGGGTGCTTCAGGAGACAGGAATATCTCCCTTTGAATACAGCTGCATAGCCACTAGCTCCCCATCAGTGTGATGTGGCTCCCTAATACTGCATGCCAGCATTAGAAGTGAAGCATAAAGTGGACCTTAAGCTCTTTGGGATGCCTTAAGCAAGGAGCTGTGGAGAAAAGGACAAAAGTATGGTATAAATGACTGGTAACCTCTGGTACTGTCACCACAGCAGCTCAGAGCAGAGCCAGTTGCTGCAAAACCCACCCACGAAGCTTGGCGAATTCTTGGGCATTTAGCCTGTACTGCATTCTGCTTGGGGTACAGTTCTGTCAGCTCATATATGTTTGTGTACAGGAACTGTAGACATACCTTTGGATGAAGCCCTACCATTGGCTTTGTTCTTAAAGAACAGAATGAAAATTTTGCTTTATTTTGGAGATACCAGAAGCAGGTCCTTGGTTCCAGCAACTCAACAGAAAGATTCTCTTTCTAAGTATCAGATAATTGCAAGCCTGAGCCTGTCTGTACTTGAAACTGAGATTGTTTATTTTTTCATTGTTAGGAACATTTTGGTCTTAATAACCCAACTGGAATGAATTGTCTGCTAGATGGAACCATCCCTCCAAGTTCTGGTCTCTCTAGCTCCAGTGCTTTGGTGTGCTGTACAGGACTCGTGACACTAAGAGCTAATGGAAAAACCCTCTCTAAGGTAATTTACTGTAAAACACAAGAGTGTCAGCAGTAAAATTCTACTTAAAATTAAATATTGTTAATGCCTGTAAACATTAAAAACACGATACAATTGTTTTTGCAAGGAGTGTTGGATATAAACTTAAGATATTGCACAATTGAGCAAACATCTTTGGCCAAATTCTGGCAGGATTTGAATTTGGCAAGAAAACAGGCTTACATTAAAGCTGAAAAAAGAAGCATTATTGTAAGCCTGTACTTTGGCCAACCATCAGGTCCATGCCTGGACCAGATGTGCTATCTGCAGGCCAGGACTGAGGATATATGTGCTGAAGCATGTGGACCACACCCCCGAGGCCTTTACCCTCTCCCTGAATGACTTTTCATGGCTTTAACGGCAGAGCATCTGTTGGAGGCCTGTGGAACAATTTCTTGATAAATTATATAATCAGCACAAAGTAGAGATAAAATTCTTCCATCTGACTCTCCTTATTCTCTTCACAGTTTTTTTGGAAGGAACATATTCACAATCCAAAATGTATTCCTCACTTTTTTAAACAAACATTAGTCTAAAAACAAACCCCAAGTATGTGACCTGTTAGCAGTACAACTGTTACTAGAATTTGGCTCATGTAATTCAAATTTCTGGAGGAGTCATGGTCCTTGAAGGTGCCATATGGGAATGAAGTTCTCTCCAGTAAAAATGTCTGGTTAAGTGAAACTAGGATCTTAAATTAGAACATTGTCAGGAAAAGAACAAATCAAAATGTGACTGTTAGGCATATTTGTGCCTATTGTCTAAGGCAGACATTCCTGAATTGTGGTACAAAGCCAACTTAAAAGTGGTGCATGATGATGGCAGCTATTAACTGTGCTTGTATACAAGCACTTATCTGAGCCATGAGGTAAGCAGATCCACACAGAACATTTTTGCTGATCAGTTGTGACTTGCTTTTCTATGTAGCTGCAGCTGCAGCAATCCACTTAGCAGTAAGTGCTCTGTCCCACATTGCACAGCTTACCGTGCTTGCTTCAGGAAGGTATCAAGCAGGGTTAAGGCAGAAAGAAGCAGGATTGGTGAGGCAGTGCAGCTTTTTTATGTAGGAGGATGTGGCTACAGTCACTGTCACCCTGCTTTGTGTTGGTGCGAGGTGTGGTCAAAAGGTTAGTAAGGGGCCGGACACTTAACAGAGGCTCTAGTTTGTGAGTTGAGGCGTGTAGTGCAATGACAGGTAAAAACGTGGAAGTGAAGATCCCACTTTGATGAACGAGACTTTGCAGTAAGAGGGTTGGAGGTGTCAGATGTGCTTTTTTTGTACATGTGTACCTGGCCTGGCAAGAAGCTTCTGGTTTTGCATAAATGGTCTTATCACAGGTCAGTACCATCTCTGATGGTGGTAACCAAATGAGCTAAGCTTGGGACATACTGATCAAAATCCCTGGAGTGCATGTGTTCAGAAACTGGGTATCTGCAAAATCCATAAAGCTGACAGAGGTCAGAAAGCCCAAATTTTACTAAGTAGTAGAAATCTGTATCTGGAGAACCAGAAGCCAGGTTTTCATTACTCCAAGAAATACTGCACAGCTTTCTTCAGAGAATAAATGATACAGTGTGTATCTTGAGTTGAATTTACACATGGCTTGGGAGTACCGGCCGGCATTATGCCAGACCTGTTCTAAAGAAAGGCGCAAAACTCCTTCTGGTATTTTCATAGAAACTTGTGGAGGAACAGAAGGAAGACAGAGGCTCCTCTGAATGGCTTTCCTGCTCCTCATATGTCCTGTTCAGCCAACCCAAAATCTCTTCTGCTTGCTGATTGGCAAATGTGCTGAAAGTTAATCTTCTGTCTCAATATAGTTGGACAAACACAAGAGACACAATTGCACATTTTTGTCAGGAAATCCTGCTGTGTGCAGCCAAACATTTTGCACTTGTGATGAAAAATGAGCAATTAATGTACAGATGAGAATTCCCAATAGCAAACATAGGAGCAGTTAAGAACATATCCAAGGTTTTATGTGCTTCCATAGACCAAGACACCTGGTTGTGGTGGTTAGGACAGCTCTGAAAACTGATTACTTTTGTCCAGGCTCTAAGTTTCCCCAGATCTTACAGGACAGTAAAAACAGGTTCAGTGTTCTTGGCTAATTTATGATTTAGCATTAGAGACCTTTTATATCTAGCTAAATCCAGATTCTCTGTTGCACTGAATTTATGCTTAGCCTCACAGAACTGCCTTGTATAAGGCAGAGCTAGTCTGAATATAAATTAGAGCAATTGAGGCATGTGAGCCCTCAGAAGTATAAAACGTGCTCTGGCCACTTCTTTCCAGCTCCTAATGCATCCTGTGCTGGTGTCAAATGGTATCTGTGTAGGATCCAGTAATGCTGGCTCTGTATCAGCTGGGAGCTCCCCCATGGCAGGGGAATTCTTAGCTGACCAGAAATAGGGGCTTTCCAGATCCCTTCTACTAGAAAGCAAACCAGGACCTTGCATTTTTAGTGCTCTGGGTATTTATGTGTTTGTTTATTTTTAAGGAAGAAATACCGCTTTACCTCTCCCCTCTGTCTTTTTTTTTCAAATGTTTAAGAGTTGTGAAAGTTGTAAAGGGTAGTATTTATAAGTAACAGTATTTGGTGGTGGTGGTAATTTTATGAGAAAAGATTGACTTTTTGCCCCTCATTAGTCTGATGGACTTTGCAAAGTCTTAATATGATGGTCTGGAGCAGCAGGACGTAGAAACTTTTGGCATCGGAATCAAATTTGGCTGAATTGTAGGGCTTCTGTAGCCAAAGTTATGAAAAATTGACCTTTTACTGAATGGAACATTTGTCTGTTTTGTTTCTGTGAATCTATTTTTGTGAGAATATTTGAGTTATATGTTCTTTTTCCTGAGAAATGTAAGTTTAAAATAGTAGCAGTAGAGTAAAAGTCATTGAAATTTAGAGCTTTTATGAGATAACACTTCCAGTGTGAAGTTTGGGCCTATGAGATTAAGAGCCAAAAAAAACCAAAACGAAAAACACTGTAAAAGCATGGCTAGAATTTCATGGTGGCTTACTTCAAAAATAGCAATTTTTTGATGTTGAAAACAAAATCAGGAAAAAAAATATGCTCTCACTAATTATTGTGTGTAGCAGTCTGCAATAGGGCATTGTTTCAGTGTGCATACACTATTTTTTTTTTCAAACCCATCACACACATACACAATAGTTTAGGGAAAATACTAGTCCAAGACAATTCAGCCAGATGTGCAGTGCTAACCAGTTACAGCAGTGCAACAGCATTCAAATAACAAGATGGAAAATTTAGAATGGGATCTTTAAAAAGAATCCATTTTTCTCCTCCAAACAGGATACCAGTCTAAGACTGTGCTGGCATCACTCAAAGAACAGCAATGCTCAGTATTAGCTTTTGATTTTAAAGTGATTTTTAATTTACTGTTACAAAATAAATCTTTTGTACAACTTTTCATCAGGAGAAGATACTTTTTGTAAAGGAAATAGAATAATGCTCTAAATTGTCCCAGCTTTGTGTTTCATGGTAGGAATTAATGAGTACAGAAAATCACTTAGTACTTCTGAATAACTAGATTTACTTGAAAGATGTGATGATAGTGTTGCTGTCCAAATGTTAAATCTTGTGGTACTCAGTTCTGTTCAGCCACCCCAACTTTTTTTTCTGTCACTCAAGGCTGGGCAGCTGTGCACATACGTATTGGGGAAAAATAGATCAAAAGCCAATAGAGTTTATTTAATTTAATGTGAAATGCTAAGCATAGGAAGTTGAATTATATGTGGCTCTATCTAGACTGAGAAAAATCTTAAGTCAGATGGAATGATAAATAAAGGGCCTAAATCTAATCTGTAATGGTACAGTGTCCATTTGCTTCGATTTTCTCAAACTATGCTTAGATCAATTTGAGTGTGGGATTTTCAAAACATTCAGCATTGTCCTGTGTTTAAACAGTTACAATACCTGGTAACGTCATTGATTTCAGTGGGAGAATAGATAGGCCAACTGGAATCCCTTCTACTTTGTTTCTGAAGCCAGTATATAATAAGGAAGGGGCTTTAATTGAATATGTTACTACTTCCTAATATTTTTTCTATTGTGCAATAGGGCTTTAATATCTAGCAAGATATTTTCTGGCAAGAAAAGCTGAGTATTCATGTTGCTAGTGTGACTTTGAAATCAATAACATGTGCTGATAATACTAGGTAGGATTATTTTATAATATTGCTGCATCAGACGTGTTTGATAGATGCATGCTGAGGTTATTATACAAGAAACTTAAATTGCTTACACAAAAATGGTACATAGATATTTTATTTCGAAGTACTGTTAATATTGGGAAATATTCCTTTCTCCCTGTGGAATTAAAAAGTAGGGTTCTTTAACTTATTAAGTTTGACTATGTGTGTTTGTAATCAAGGGGAAACAGAGTACTTCGGAGCACTGGTAATCAAAGGCCATAATCTCTCATCAACCAAATTGATAACCTTCTATTTGAGCATGTTAGAGGGCAGACAAAGTCAAGCTAAGATTGCTGTGCTTATGAGAACATCCAGATACTATCTGACAAATATTTTCCCATTTTGGAAAAAAGCAAGCATAATTACACTTCAAAACATATATGAAGTTTAGCTAATTGGGATTTTGTATGCAAACTGGAAGCAGATGATAACTTTCAGCAATCTATTCCTTGTCAAGACCAGATACTAAAAATAAGGACATTCCTGGTGGTAAAAATAACCTCAAAATTTAGGCATCATTTTATACCTTGATAAATGAAACACGGTGTCTTATATTTCAGAAGTTATTTTCGTACATATATACATATGTATAAAACATGCACAGATTGAAAAAACCCCCACCATCTAACTAGACTTTAAACCTGCCTTTAAGTGGTGGAGAATGTTTTCTTCTTATTGTAAAATCTTTACCTTTAAAAGTTTCTTCTCCATGTTCAGTCCTGTGTGCTTGAACCAAACCCTGCAGAATTTCATAGAAAATCT